GTTTCTTTTAGAACGCAATTCGGCACTTTATTCGGATCGGAATTTCATTCTAATGAATGAAACTCCGATCCTATTCATTGCCGCGGCAAAATGGATTTTTATTTGGCCTTTTTGGGGGCTGAAGAAAGAAGATTTTAGAAAAAAGAAGACGTCAAATGGTAAGTTTAATTTTTTTTTTTTACAGGTTAGATATTTTATTCCCCCCTCACTATTTTTAGGGTGAGGGGGGTAGGTAGGGGATAGGTTTTTTTGGGTGGGGGGGGTGACTAGGGGCTTGGGACCCCTAGTCACCTTGATTGGGGGGGGTGTTTCATTTAGGGCCCCCACCCACCACTCAGGGGTGGGGGCCAGGGGGGGGAGGACAGTAGGTCCCCCCCCTTATTGTTTTACTGGGGCCCCCACCCACCGCTCAGGGGTGGGGGCCAGGGGGGAGGACAGTAGGTCCCCCCCCTTATTGTTTTATTTGGGCCCCCACCCACCGCTCAGGGGTGGGGGCCAGGGGGGAAGGACAGTAGGTCCCCCCCTTCAGCGGCGTACATACCAGGGTCGCAGGGGTCGCGGCTGCGACCGGCCGGCCCACCAGGGGGCCCGGCCGCCCCGGCGACCCGGTATGTACCCACAGGGCCAGCCTCTTCCCCTGGGGGGCCCAGGAGCCGATCACCCCAGGGCCCCACGAGGCTGGCCCTGCTGACACCCGGAAGGTGGGTGCCCGGTCGGGCAGGCAGGCAGGCGGGCGCGCGAGGGGGCACTCAGTGCTTCCTCTTCAGCTCCCTCGCGCACCGCACTGATATCGGAGCCGGAAGATGATGTGGGGGCTTAGGGGCATTTGGGGGTGACTAGTGGGTCAATTGGATGTAGTGGAGGCGGGAGGGTCTGACAGTGCCGCTTTAAGTGTTTTAAGTGTTTTCATTCTCGAATACTATGGATTTTTATTATAATGCTTATTAAACTGCTGTAAATGCAGAGAATTAGACACAGAATTAAAACATGAAAGCCCATGCTTATTCTTACTATTATAAAAGTTGTGATTTAATCACTAAACAATGGATTGCAATTTAATGAAAGCTAAATTCCAAAATTTTGGCACAAATAGCCAAGTTGTGAATATAGGTGAGTTATATAATTTTTCCAAGTAAACTATTTTATTTGTCAACTTGAGTGGCCACTGATGAATATGTGCCATTTGGTTGATAATAAGAATCAGAGACTAACACATGGCCATGTAAACAAAGAGAATGTTTGGCCAGTAAAAAAAAGCTTACAATCAACCGATCAACGACATCCAGATAGTAACAAAATTGATGTTATGTTTTGGCAGTCAGCAATACTCTATTCAGATCAATCCCATATCACTTGGCTATACATATCTTATCCAGCCAAGATTACATATATATTTGAAAGTAGTATTTGAACGTTAATCAAAACTTCATGGTGCCTTGTGCACTTTTATGGCTCCAAGTGGAGTCGTTTCAGTTTTAACTTACTGTTCCATTGTCAATTTATATTAGGAGGCAATACAAGATAGATGAAAGAGTCATAGTTCATGTGTTTGAAGCTTTCTGACAAAGAGAGGTGGTTAGAGGTTAGATAGGCATTGCTGTGTTTTTTATTTTTACAAGAAACACAATTATGACAGTGTATTTCTCAGATAACTCACCATATATGTGATTCAAAGTCACATTCCCTTTGCAAACAGTTTTTAGTTACAACTTGTCCTGGATTTACCTAGGAACCTTGATACTAATGGTACTAAAAGCTATCTGAAATCAGTCCATGACCTGTTTTTCGCAACTATAAACACGATCATTATTTTAACAACTTTTAAATAATTACTTTTTTTTTTGTTTTACCTTAGAGTTCCTGTTGTATTCTGCTACCTCTTAAATCCTAGTCAGGGGAATCTCTGCATGAGATCAAATGAGTTTTTTCTTTGCCTGTAGGCTGTTCATCTGTCTGAAACTCTGACAGTCATATCTGCTAATTAAAAACAATATAAATGTGTATAAGGGACAGATACTACTCTTTTATAATTGGATTCAAGCAGCTTTTTATTTTTAATTCACAGTGTGTCATGTAAAAACGTTATTAATGAACCTTTTTTGACACAAGATTGATATATGTTTTGTGATTTCAAAACAAAAAAAATTAATTAATCTGTAGGTGAAGGTGAAGGTGGGTGAGATGTGAAAATCTATCTTAATGTCTCCCCCTCCCTTCTTCTTTTCTTTTACCAGGGAGGGGGGACATAATGCTGTGGTGGCCTGTTCACTTTAGCCTGCAGCTCTGCTGACTCTCCTGTCCTCTTCCGAGCACAGCACTGTATCGGAGCGTTGCCATAGTAATGCGCAGCAATGCTCCGATAGGCCTTCCCGCAGGTGAAACACAGAGCCTCCCAGGACCCGGGCCCTTCCCTCCCTCTGCTGGAACTAAATGCCGGTGGGCCGGTGAGATTTTTGATTTCCTCACCAGCCCTAGAGGGCTTTCAGCAAGGCCGGCTCTGCATGGGCCGGCAGGGGAGATGAAAGGATCTCACCTGCCGGCCTTGGTCCACAGCCATCGAGGCCCATTGTTTTCTGCAGAACCCAACACTGCCCACCTGAAATCCCAAACTGCCAACACGTGGGTAGTAGGGACCAGATTGACTACCCCTGATCTAGCTTGTTCCACTGGCAATACACTTCAAGGAATATGGTTCCTTAGCATCACTTAAACTTGCATGTATTCCAACCAAGACCTCAACCAAGACCTCAGCAAAGAGACAAGACACACGCTTCTTGCTGTCAACTCTTTGTCAACAGTACATGACTCTTTGTCAACAGTACATGGTTTGTACTGCTGATCACTCTTTATTTCTGAGGTCCCTACTTTCTTTAAAAAATGACAGCAAAAATAAGTAAATACGTTCATTAAGTATTATTAATAAGTAAATACTTTCATTTAGGTACAATCACTCCTTGATGTAATAGGTCTGTGGTCTCTGGTTCTTGGCATATACACAGCTCTGGATAGAGCAGTGGTAACTGGTGACATTTCAAGTTGGTGGGGCACCAGGCGGCACACATGGATTTGACTCTGCTGCCAAACGTTATTAATCACAAATAGGAATATGTCTATATGGCTCTATTATCGTCAGTCTATGTGGATGATCCCATATATGGAGAATAAACCATATAGCCATTTTAAGTGAGTTAAATAAGTTGGCCATTTTGAGGCTACATTTAAATTACAAGTGTAACACAGAAGTTAGTGACAAGATGTCGTCAAAGGATTAGTTTTAAACATTATTTTGCAGTAAAATGCTAGATACAATTTCTCTAGCAAAAAAAGATAATTTGATATTTTGAGTTATTACAGATTCTCCTGAGGAGATTCATTGAGTGGCCACTGATGAATATGTGCCATATTTCTCTGTAAAGAAATAAGGATTCATATGATTATTTTGAAATAGACAATTTCCTTACTCTATAAATTTCGATCTGCCATATAGGGTCACTGTGATAAAAAAGTAAAAACACAAAAAAATACATAAAATATATTGAGTATAATTTGGGAATTTGCTCTGATCCAAATTTGGATCCAAAAAACTAAGGTTTAAAACAAATAAAATTATGTTGTCTACTGAGTAACTTCCTCTCTCTAATAGATATCAAACTGTTTCAAGATTGCTTTGTGATTATATGGACAATAAAGTTTTGTGAACATTTGGAATGCACGAAAAGGAACGCAAGCTGGAAGTGTAGCAGCCACATGGAGGAATACACGACGAAGATTGAGAGGATTACGATCAGCAGTGTGAAGGAGAGACAAGCTCCAGAGATTGGTTAATTAGAAGACAACACCCACGAACACACCAGACGGAATCAGGAAGAACCCTATTTAAGAAGGGGGTGGAAAGGTAGGACTTGATATTGTTAGACATATTTTTTATGTTTTTATGATTGTATAAAAGGTGGTCCCTGAGGAGGTTTCCATAGAAACCAAACGCGTAGGACTGGTGATATACCACCAATTGTAATATATCTATTTTATTCAATTTATTTGTGATAAATCATTTTTTACCTACCTACCTCATTCCTGATTTGGATCCAAAAGCATCATTCTGACTGAGAGACCAGACCTCCCCTGGGGGGAAGGCAACCTTAATGCACTCTTTTCATCTGGAGTCTGTGAGTTCCATATAAAGTGGGGGCACTGCAAACCTCCTCCAACGGTGTTGCACTATAATCTGAGCTGGTCATTTTCTCCTAGCTGACATAGACCCAGCTGCTTGGGAGGCAGAAGTGGGGGTTGACAGGGAGAGGAGAAAACCCCAAACTCGCAACAGCCCCAGCCAGCAGATGCCACCATCCTGCATACACAAGGTAGAAAACTGGAGGGTGGCTAGCATATTGACTTGTATGTTGCTTTTGGGGTGTCTGTATCTATATGTATGTAGTGTTTGTATCTGTGTTTGTGTGTCTGTATGTGTACCTGTGTGTGTGTCATGGTTTGTATCTGTGTGTGTATCTGTATGTGTGTCAGTGTGTGTACCTGTGTATCTGCATGTGTTTCACTGTGTGTGTCTGTGTATCTGCATGTGTGTCAGTGTGAGTTTCTGTATGTCTGTGTGTATGTCAGTATGTGTGTCACTGTGTGTTTCTGTACATCTGTATGTGTGCCACTGTGTGTATCTGTATCTGTATTGTTGTGTGTGTCTGCATGTGTGCCTGTATTTGCAAAAATACTTCCTGCAGTTGCTCCATTAAAGTAGGGCAAATCCCTGAAGATATCAAATTGAAGAAAAAGAAATATCTAGGCACACCTGAAGTTTCTTCTACAAGGCAGTCTTTTTTTTTTTTAAACATGGAAGTGGGGGGGGGCGTGGCCGACAGCCAGCGGGAATGGTCGCATAATCGTTGTGCTCCTACCCGATCGGCGAAAAGCGGCAAATAACAGTGACTAAACTGCAGAAATAGACCACCAAACAATTCCCATCAAGCACTGATAAGCTGCTCCACCCGATGGCGGCAAAAAACAAACCAAAACTGGACAAGGCGTCATTTTTCGCACAAAAACCGTCCAAGCAAAATAAACCGCCGGAAAGGGAACAAGATGGTGCCGAAGAAGGAGCGGAGGCGCAGACATTGGACACAGAGAACAAAGCTCAGGCGGGGAGTGAGGGGCCAATAACTGAGTCCAGAATTAAATCTCTGCTGGAAACCTCCCTGATGCACCAATTTAAAGAGGTAATAGGCAACCTAAACAAAGATGTGACGAAGTTGGGCGAGCACACATCGCATATAGAAAACAAAATGTCAGCACATGCAGAGGCCCATAATAGCATGGCGGATGCCATGCAGGAGTTGGAGCACAAACTACAAGCCCATGAAGATAAGCTAACTGATCTGGAAGATCGTTCCAGGAGGAATAATGTGCGAATACGGGGCATTTCGGAAGTTATAGACGGCAAACAATTGCTCCAATACATAACAACCTTCTTTGCCAAGCTTATACCGGAAGTGGAGCCAGACCTTCTGGTCATAGACCACATACACAGAGTCGGGAGGCCAAAACACATACCGATTTCATCACCACGTGACATGTTAATGAGGATCCATTATTTCCACGTCAAAGATCAAATTATGAAAGCCAGCCGCAAAAACTGACCCCCGACAGAATACAAAGCGCTGCAAATCTACGCAGACCTCTCTCCAGCCACACTACTTCAACGCCGGAACCTGGCGCTCATCACAACCTCTCTACGGGCTCAAAACTTGCCTTACCTTTGGGGATTCCCCACCAAGATCCAGGTGCTAAAAAATGGGACTCGCCACATGATCAGGACGGTGGAGGAGGGACGCAAACTACTGAGAGACTGGGACATCCCTATCCAGGACCCAAAGCACCTACCTGCGCCCGGCCCTAGGCGGCTAAATCCAGAGTGGCAAAAAGCACCATGAACTGCACCGAAAGTACCAAGACTTTGTACATCCTATAACAGAGAGGGCATGATGTTCTCATATGGGTAATGTAAATGTAAACTGTTTGTTGTTTGAAATTGCTGGGTGCAGTGGTCCCCCAGGGGTTGTATGAGAAGCTAATTAGAAAATGCAGGGCCCTGGAGGGGGCATTTCCTGCCGGAGGGAGCCCTGGCACCTTAACCAGAAAGCCTGCGTATCACTTACCATAAGGTTTTAAGTAAATACAAATATAATTAAAAAAAATAAAAAAAATAAAGCAACATACAAAGATGAATAGACGCTGTAGAAAGGGAACACATGCACCAAGATGGGAAGTAGTTGAGACTTAAACATAATTGCAGTTTAAGAGTATAGCCGACACCAGTGGGAAAATTGTTCGCACACTGGTAGAGGCTACCATTACCACGACCCCTGGTAGTTGTCTCGGCCCTCAGGAAGGCAACTCCAGACCCCTAGGGGGTTAATTCTTGGGCCATTGAGTTTGTTGTTTTGTTGTATGTAAGTTATAAAATGTTATGCTGTTTTATGCCCCTACCCTTCTCCACCCCCCAGAACTCTCGCAAATCTATATCATGGGTGCCCAGGATAAAGCTAGTAAAGTCATGCCAGGCCCTTGATAAATCCAACACTCAAGTCTACATTTATGAAAATAGTCACGTACAATGTTAAAGGGTTAAACACCCAACACAAGCATACTCTCCTGTAAAAAGATCTGTCCAAATGGCATAGCGACATAGTGTGCCTACAAGAGACACACTTTAACAAACAACCGCAAAAATCCCTGTACCCCCAGTCATACAGTAGACAGTTTTACTCCACTGCTCACAAAAAGGCGAGAGGGGTCTCCATTTTGGTAAATGACAACGTAGTATTCACCCTATTGCGCAAAATTTCTGACCCTACGGGCAGATATTTGATCATGGTTTGTATTGTGAACGAAATAACATACACTATAACGAATGCCTACTTCCCAAATTCAAACCAAGCCCAGTTCTTAGAAATGCTGTGTAATAAGATAGATAAGATCAAACAGGGTACCCTGGTGTTGTGTGGGGATTTCAACTTTATAACAGAGCCAGTCTTGGACTCATCAGCCAAGCTTACAAACAAAAGATTGAGGGCGTTGCAGGGTTCCTGCAAGTCTTAAAGATCCCATCTTCATTTCCATAACCTGCTTGATTTGTGGCGCACTCTGCACGACCATGAGAAAGATTATACGTTCCACTCAGCGGTCCATAACTCTTATACGAGACTCGACCGCTTCTACACATCACCCACAGACCTGATCCAAATAGAGAATTGTGTGATAGGACAGATAACATGGTCTGATCATGCACCAGTCTTTTTATACATTAAAGACGCCCACACACACACAGGGAAGGGGTTCTGGAGGCTCAACAAATCCCTACTCCATGATCTAGACTTTATCAAAAGCGTACGCGTAGAACTGAAAGAGTATTTCACCAGGAACAACAATGGGGAGACGTCCCTGGAAACTCTATGGCTGTCACATAAGGCGGTGATTAGGGGCATTTTTATAAAGAGGGCGACTTACCTAAAACGGAAACGGGAATCTCAAATGACAGAATGGCTCCAAAAACTAGAAATATTGACAAGACAAAATAAACACGAAACATCCAGTGAATTGGCATCACAGATTAAGACACTAAAATCCCAGATTGACGAAGCCAGTTTGCTGAAAACAAACTATCATATACAGAAACTAAAAGCCAGGTTCTACCACCAGGGAAACAGGGCAGGCAAAGTGCTGGCCAATTTACTCAAACATATACAAGCAAAACACTGTATCTCATCCATAAGAATAAACACCACAAAAACGGTACACAAGCCCCAGGACATTAGCGAAGCATTTGCAACATTTTATAAAGCTCTCTATAACATAGAGACAGACCAACCCAAAATACGACCATCGGAGTATCAGATCCAGAACTTCCTAGACAGGGTGTCTATCCCCAGATTGAATGCCGACCAAATAGCATCTTTAAATGCACATATATCGACCGACGAAATCCTTAAAATTATAGCGGGGTTGCCCCCACACAAAGCACCGGGACCAGACGGTCTAACATGCAAATATTGCAAGGTGTTTGGAGACTTCTTAGAACCATACATGACAAAGCTATTTAATTCCACTAACCAAGAAAAATTTATATAATAGAAGTGCATATTTTATGCAATTGAATTGCAACTAACTGGAACTTTGTCACAGACAAATTGTTGAATGTCAAACTTAATTCTAATGTACAAAAGCATTATGTTCCCATACACCCCCTTCTCTTCTGTATCCCCTCATGGTTTTCATTATGTGTGAAAATAAAAATTGTCAAATTGAAAAAAACAAAAAAACATGGAAGTGGGGACAACTTTTTAAGCTCCTCTCTGATCCTTTATTAAGACTTGATAAAGAGAGGAGCTTAAAAAGTTGTCTTCACTTCCATGTTTCAAATAAAAAAGGCTGCCTTTTAGAAGAAATGTAAACAACTAAATAGAAATTTGCTGCCATAATTAACAGGGCTGTGGACCTCATACCTGTGCCCAGTCTTATCTTTTATATCATCCTACCTCGCAAAACACATTCCATACTTTCAGGTATATACAGATCATTCTATTCCCTCACTTCCCTCTGTGTATTTGCCCTCATCCTTTTAGATTGTAAGCTGTATTGGCAGGGACATATTCACCTAGTGTTCACAAATGCCATACACGTTTTGTTAAAATTAATTTTACTTGTAACAGTGTCTTAATGGCTTGTGCTTCATGGGTATCATAAGTTAAGTTAGTAATTGTAGAAAATTAAATGTATCATGGATTCCTCTATAAGCAACACATGACTCTGGTTACATGAGCTCCCCAAACACCTGAAAAACCCAAATAACATGCTTGCTAAATGTCCAAATACTGAAACACCTACAATAGGATTGACATAATTTGACTGGAAACCTGGAAAATGTCCATATCCATATTTCCTTGTTTGAAATGTTCATTTAAAAATAAATAAATAAATAAATAAATATACACACACACACACACACACACACATATATGTATGTATATATATATATATATATATATATTATTATTATTATTATTATTGTCATTTATATAGCGCCAACAGATTCCGTAGCGCTTTACAATATTATGAGAGGGGGGATGTAACTATAAATAGGACAATTACAAGAAAACTTACAGGAACAATAGGTTGAAGAGGACCTTGCTTAACTGAGCTTACAGTCTATAGGAGGTGGGGTATTAGAAACGTTAGGACACGAAATATGAAATAGGGTGGGAGTGAAGCAGAGCTGGAGGAGAGAGTAAAGCACTGTCCTATAGGAGAAAGCAAGAGACAGGTATGTAAGGTAGAGATTACTCTGGGAGGCCATAAGCTATCCTGAAGAGATGGGTTTTAAGGCCCTTCTTAAATGATTGAAGACTAGGGGAGAGTCTGATGGCAGTAGGCAAGCTATTCCATAGGAAAGGAGCCGCCCGTGAGAGGTCCTGCAACTCGAGTTGGCCGTACGGGTGCGAGCAGCGGTCAGGAGGTGGTCATGGGCAGAGCGGAGGGAACGAGGAGGGGCATACTTATGGATCAGTGAAGAGATATAAGAGGGTCTTGAATTGTTCAGTGCTTTAAATGTATGGGTTAGCACTTTGAATTGACTCCTATAGGATACAGGAAGCCAATGTAAGGAATGGCAGAGGGGTGAGGTGTGAGAGGACCGACTAGAGAGGAAAATGAATCTAGCTGCAGCATTCATTACAGACTGTAGCGGGGCAATACGGCTTTTGGCTAGACCAATCAGGAGAGGGTTACAGTAATCCATGCAGGAAATTACTAGAGCATGGGCAAGCTCCTTGGTAGCATCTTGTGTAAGAAAGGGGCGGATGCGGGCTATGTTTTTGAGTTGGAACCTACAGGACTTGACAACAAACTAGATGTGTGACTGAAAGGTGAGACCAGAGTCAAGTATGACGCCAAGACAGCGCGCTTGCAGGGATGGACTTATGTGAATATCACTGACTTGAAGGTTAATATTGTATATATATATATATATATATATATATATATGCTCTCTCTTTCTATATATATATTATATATATATATATATATATATATATATATATATATATATATATATATATATATATATATATATATATATATAGCATTGACAAGGGAATCACACATATCAGGATGAAATGGCAGAACTTAAAATATAGATCAGCTGGAGAATTTGGGGAATTAT